ATCTTTAAATTGATGGACATATAGAGCCTGTAAATCAAGTTTTCGAACAGCATTTGAGTTATACCATTAGTTACCAACAAGATGATTGAATAACTCTTTTGTCATTGGTAGAGTTTATTTATAATAATATGGTATATTCTTCCATACAATAAATATCTTTCTTTATTAATTATAGTTATCATCTATGACTTGATACTTTTGATCTTTCAAAAGTTGATAATTCTATAGCAAAAAAATTACCTAATTATATATCTAAGCTACATATAACAATGAAGGTACAACTAAAAGAGGCTCAAGAATAACAAAAAAGTAATACAAATGCTTATTACTAAGAACAACCTTATTTCTATATTGATAATAAGATATGATTACTTTGTTATAATATTAAAACTATTTGTTCATGTGATTAACTAGATTATTATAGACTTGTACCATTTCTTATTTGTAAATAAGTCAATCTAATTACTTATCAATTTTATCTACTAGAGTCTATGAAAATCCATCTTATATTTCATGTGTCTCTTTTGAAGCCATATAAGACAATGAATATCTTGAGAAGAAGACAAATACCATCGCCTCTTATAAAAGTAGATAATAATCAAGAATTTGATGTAGAAGAAGTCTTAGACTCAAGGTGCATTAACATAGGTTGAAATATCTTATTCATTTCTATAGATACAATATTAGCAAATGCATATGAGAGCCAACAAAAAATCTTACAAATACAGCAAAGAAGATCAAAGACTATGATTAGAAAACTCCAAGTATGTATAGACAATAAAAAATTCAACAAATATACTTAAAAAGATCATTTTTTTTACCTTTCATTAATACCATTTTAAAAGAAGCAATACGTCATGAATTTTATATGTTTATGGACGGATATTTGAAATACAATCAAATATCCATAGATTTAGAGGATCATCTTAAAATTACTTTTATTACATCTTGGGCCACCTTTATTTATGTAGTCATGCCTTTTGAACTTTGAAATGCTCTTGCAACATTTTAAAGAATAATATTGTATGACTTTTGAGATCTACTACACAAATCATTGAAAATATTTATTGATAATTTTAGCACCTAGTCGTCTAGGACAACACATCATGATTGTGTAAAGGCTAGTCTTCAAAGATATTGAAAAATCTAGGATAGCTTTAAATCCTAACAAAATATTTCTAGTAATTAAAAAAAAGATCGTACTATAATGTATAATATTAAAAAAAAGATAGAAAATTAGATCCTAAGAAGGTCAAGGTGATTATAGAATTAAATCTCCTATTAATAATAAAGCAAGTAAAAAGAACCTTGGGGCACATCAAATCGTATTAAGAGATGATACATGATTGTTCTACCACTTCTATGCCCATAATTAGACTTCAATAGAAAGATTATTATGAATAAATTATGAAGGTTTAAAAATAATAAATAAATAAATAAATAAAAATATTTTACGTCTAAGATAGTTTACTTATAGATTAAAGATTTGAGCTTCATGAAAGCCCACATATAGTATATAAGGATATCTAAGAGAGTCCACTAGTAGTCTTATCCTCCTAACTATATTCAAGGTGCTACAACCCATATGGAACTTGTACACCTCTCTTTCTACAAGGACTACATTAGTTATTGATCTTCTTATTTTCTACTAGTAGAATCAATATTTTTATATTTTTGACTTCACCATGGTATTGAAAAACATCCAATTAGCCTTAAAACCTTAAATGGCCTTCAAATCTTGCATCATTTCTTCATAATAGCTTCCTAAGTGGTAAAAATCATTTTCACCAAAATCTAAAAAATTACTCTAAAAATTTCCAAATAATTCTAAATAAATTTTAAATAAAATTTAAAAATTATTATAATATTTTTATAATATTAATAGTAATTTAATTACATATTTTTTATCTTATTAATTTTTATAGTAATAAAATTAATATAAATCAACTATAAATCTCATTTTTTATAATAATAATTAAAAAGATATAAGGTTCTTTTTCATGCTTCTTTTAACTATTAATTAAAATTTATAGTTTTTTATAAATAATACATATAGATAAAAGGCCAATGTAGATATTGATCTTAATAATTAATCCTTAATATTCAAAAATAAGTAAAGTTACTAAACCAACTAAATTAATTGCCGCCAAGACTTATTAAGACTCCATTTTTATACCTAACATTCTAATTCATTATTTAACTAAGAATTTTTATACTACTCATTATTTATTATAATTTTGGTATTCTAAATATATATTTTTTTTTAAAATAACTAATAAATTTATTTGATAATTCACACATAACAACCATCTAAGATGACTTGGAAAAAAAAAAAAAAAAAAAAAAAAAAAAAAAATCGAGAACAGATCTTTTAAAGTATTATTCATGAAAAAGATGAATTATTCTTGAAATTTTTTAATAATTATCCAAAATAAAAATAAATGAATTACTAATAACTTAAATGAACTAAAGTAGATTTTGTTCTATAGAACTAAAGAAAAAAGATAGGAAAAAATTAAATCTAATCTTAAAAATTAAGAATTTTAGAAAAAAAGAACTAAGGCTAAAGATTAAAAAGATTGTATCTTTAGACTTCTCCTCAATATGAAAGAATTTTAGTATTGAATCTTTTAAGGGCTACATATCCATTGGATGTACAATGTTGGTCTTTCTTGTACTAATACTAAGTCATTAAGATAGCCCATTGTTCCAATTGGATTAAAAGCCAAGTGACTCACATGACAACTTCTCATATGACCAACACATCTATATCCTTTGAATGTTTACTAAGTCACACACTAAAAATTCTAATATAGTTTTTTTTATTTTTTTTATTTTTTTTAATTTTTTGGACATTCAAAAAATTATAAGCATCTATTTAAAAGATCTTCATTCCATCTATCTAACTAGGATTGAACTTAAAAGTAGTGGTATATGATGTTGGGCTACTTAGAGAGGTATGTTCTTTAAATCTTTGTAAGACCAAGAAAATATATTTTGATATTCTATCATTAAAGATTTGTACTTCAATAATTCATCTTATAGCAATTGGACTTTTATTTTAATTAGTTTTGCCTCTTCATCTTCAAGAGACACATCCATGAACTTATAATCTATATCATGAACATGAGATTGTTCTATAGGTACTCTATACCAAACTTTTGGTATTTGTGGATAATTTGCTACATCACTTCTAATCTTAAGTCCATTAAAAATCTATTTGAAGTCTAGGAGTGGATTAAGGTCACTCTCTTTTATTATGTCTCTTAGGTTGTAAAATTGAGTGCCATCAATATTTACTCTATAAACATCTTTACAATTGATATTATCTATCAAAGTTACTGAATCTACTTCTAATTCATTTTGTTATTATGTGGCAAAACCATCTATGAAATTAACATTCATGACTTCATCTACACTTGAACTAAGGTGATTCTTTAACTATTTGGTGAATTCCTCGTCATCTTTTCATCATAAAATTTAGGGTCCATACATTTTAATGGAATTAATTGAACAATTCTTGAATGATCTACCACCTTAGTTTTTAAATCTGTAAATTTAACCTTCTTTTTTAACTCCTTAGGTTGTAGGCTTGGACTCTCATCTTTTGAAGAGTGAAATGAGGTTTTGGTCAATTATAGTCCTTGATATTGAAAAAATATTTTTATAAGGTTTTATGATGGATTGTAAATGATATAAAGTTTATTACCACTCCAATCAAATTTGCATTAGTTGCCCTCAACAAAGGCCTACCTAAGAGCAAGGGATAGGAATTTTTGCTTGGATGCATGTTAATAACATGGAATATGAAGGATTACTCTTCACCACCTATCATCATTCTACAACCATTAATTTGCCTCAAAGGATTAACTTGGCTTTAATTAGCCATATTAATCACATAAAGAGAGGGTCCAATAATACTAAGTCTTAGTTTTTCTGTAGTTCTCACTAGCATAATATTTAATCCATTACCTCCATCTACAATAGTATAGAGTATGATTTTATTCACTATAGACACTTCTAATTCAATTGCCTTCATTTCTTATATCCCTAAAATAGTTCTAACATGGGCTTGAATTTTTGTTGTATCTCTTTTAGATTTTAGTAAAAAAATCTAATCAATAATTTACTGCTTAGCATCATTTAAAGTTATAAATTATTCTTATAGAAATTTTTAAGCCTTTAAATAATTATTTAATTAATATCCAATTATTCCACTAATATCAAAATTATTTATTATAATCTTAGATGATAAATTAATAATCTAATTATATATATATATATATATATATATAGAATAAACTATGAATAAAATTTATGTACATCAATGTTTATATTTATAATAATTAAAAACTAACATATATTGCACAATAAAGCTTAATAGTTGTTTTGAAGTTTACATAAATATGTATGAATTTCTTTTATTGACCTATTTGTAATGGATCTTACTATTGCCATCACAACTTGCCATGTACGACATGTTACTATGGTATTTGCTTATGCTACTATAAATTATCCTTAACTTGAGTTGCATACCACAATACACTTTTCTCAACCAACAACATTATTTCCAAAATTGATTGTAGTTACACATGACATTTAATTGCTCTTGTTTGTTAATGTTTGTGAAAAGAAAGATGGATAGATTACTTGTAACAAGAGCATATGAAAGAAATGACAATTGCAACTATTATCCAAAAAAAACCATTACAATTTTATTTTTTTTTTTTTTGTTTTTTTTTTTGAAGTAGTAGCAATATGAGCAAAAACGATGGTAACATGTGGAGAATGGCAAATTGTAATGCCAAAAGCAACACTCCAAAATAATACTTCAAAATTATTAATCAAGTGCATTGAAATATTAATACTAAATAAATTAATCAATGTTATCATTTCAACACTTGAATCATTGAAAAGTAACAATAATTCTTATTATAATAGTAATTTTCTCAAAAAACTAAAAAAATCATCCAAAATAAAATTTAAAAACTAATAAGGTGGAAAAATCAAGGATGCCATAAATGCCACTTTTAAACACAAAAATAAACTCATAACATTGTCTAAAAAAACATGAAAATGAGTAAAGATGTCCTACTTCTCTTCTTATAAATAGAAGCTACTTAAAAAAGGACATGATAGGAGTCGTCCAAAATCATTACTTTCAATCATATTACTATGAATGAAGCACATGATTGAAAGTATTCAATTATTAAAAGGAAGCACAAACTGTAAAAAATTGACTTTCCAAATAACCAAAGAGTTGAGTCTGATGTTGAGGACCCTTTTCCTTCCTATACTGCCGCTTCTGTAGTTATACCACTGAGCAAGCCTACTCCTTTCACGAGTTGGCAATGTGAGAAAGAGATTGTTGCACCCACTTTCAAAAACAAACAATCCGCCCCAGTTAATAGATTCAATCTCGTGCATCAGCGAGTATGATCCTCGCAGAACTGAACAAATCTGCACAGAAAATCCTTCTACGTGGTCAAAATGTCAGGGAGAGCGTAGGAGGTGCCTCCAAGCACCTTGGCATTGGTGTCCGGGATGAACTCACAGCCTGGTTTGTACGACAAGGAACCGTCGCTTCCCACATCGTAAGGGTAAGACATCAAATGTCCAGGAAGATCGACCACCTCTTCTTGTGCGAACAAATTCCAGAGATCATCCGATCTCTCATTCACGTGGCGAATGCACTCTACGCTCCATGGCTGCAAAAATTTGTTGTCCAGCATGCCCAAGTGCTCGTACCACAACGCCATTCGGAACCCATGGATCTGACCCGTTGCAGGCCTATGCGTAGCAAGTTGGTGAGGCTGATAAGCTCCCATGGCAATTTCGGAGTCGCGTGCACCGTTCAAGGATCTCTCGTTGATGTTGGCTGACCCCACTATTATGTACTCGTCATCCACTGTACGCAGCAACAAAAGGGTTCGTCACCAGTAGCAAGGGAACAAATGACATTGAAAATTCTTTTTTGTAAGCGTGAATAAATGAATCTGAGTAAGACATAAAAATACTCACCTATCATCATTTTTGAGTGCACATAAATCATGAAGCGGCGGTGCTCCTGGGCGGATCTATAATAGTTGTCTTCAGGGGGGGCGCCTTTGGTCGGCACATACTCATCCGCTCGCCGCAACTCCCTGTTTCCTAAACAAAACACAGAGAAGTATTCTCTGGGGTGCTGGTCCCTGATCCCTCGCGCATTCAAGGCAACCGCGATTTCTTTATACATCATTTGAAAGGTCCTCCTCTGCCAGTCCAAGATTGCTTGCACGGATTGGCTCTCCGGGGCGCCTTCAGGATACATCGGTATCACAACATACACGGCGAAGCGCTCCCCAGCTTCGATTTTGCTCACGATCTTGCGGACAAGCTCCATGGGGATAAGGTTGAATGCCCCGGCCTCCTTCTTCGCTTCCCAGCCAAAACTGCTCCCCAAGAAGTACTGATTCTCGATATAAATGAAGTTTCGCGCACGTCTAATGGCATTGATGTACGCATGGTGAATACTGCGGTCAATTGAGATATTTTTCCCACTCACCAAACCTTTATTTGCAGCTTCCTCGGGAGTATCTGGAAACCCTTCCGCAGCCCCTGCGTCAATTGAGCGAAACACCTGCACATTCCAGGTCTCCTGATCCTCCTCACTGGTAACAGGATCACGAGAGATACCAAGATCTCGGATGGGCAAAAGATCCCCCGGCCGCCCAGCCTGTTTTTTCCATCTCTCTTCAAAATTGCTGAGAACATCCCACGCAACAGGACCTTCCAACTTAGAGTGGATGTCGTGCCACGGCTCACGAGGTCCGCCACATTCCACGGAGGCTCCAGTAAACACTTGATGGAAATCCCGACTGTGAGCCGTATCAAGAGTGCGGAACAGAGAGTGGAACTGGTTGTCATAGCGGCCGTCACAGAGGTCCAGTCCTCCCACAAAGCTTACAAGCCTCCGTCCAGAGGAGAAGGCATCGGCTCCTGGTAGCGGAGCGTCAACAATGACGGTTTTCTGGTGATGCGTGAAAAGACCCCCGATTTGCGATTTCTGCATCAGTGTTAAGTTGCTATCGGCGTCCCGCGGACAAAGAAAACATTTTACATTCGTGCCTTTGAAGTATTGCGCGGTGGCTTCGTCATGGGTGGACATAACCCCCTGCTGCCGCAGCCAAAACGACGACCGATCGTCCCAAACCATAACGTTCACGCGAACTCCCTGGTCCGCCTTCTTCTTCAGAAGCTCTCCAATAGTGAAGCCCTCGTCGCCTGGCACTGGCCTCTGTGGATCTCGGCATAGCCTAATCTCCGTATAGACTGACCAGCCTGTGATATAGATTAATTTTTGAGCATTGTTGATTGCTTCAAAGATATCCTCCCAGCACCGTCGGGATTGATACTCCTGATCACCGCTCAAGTATATGGGAGGCAGGAAATTCTCTGCCATGTGGGCATCCTGGTACAGGGTTACGTGACAGCCTTTCTGTTGAGGAAAATAGCAGAACGGTATTCCCGGGTTCTGCGAGTCCAACACACCCTTCCCCCAGTATGGATCTCGACTTGCCTCAAAGAATTGTAAGGAAAATCGGATTCGCGAACGTTTGAGCGGACCAGTGTGATCGTTGACGAGTTGATATTCCTTGTCTACCTCTTCGCCTGTTTAGAAAATAACTATATATATAAGATGTTTGTCCTATCAGGCACAGCAGCATTCAGCAAGTACACAAGCTCACTGCCATAAATTAATCAACACTAAGTAGCCAACACAGAAGCACAAGTTTGCAAGTCTAACAAGAAATGAATATGCAAAGGGAGAGAATGGTCGGGGGGGGGGGATTGCCTGAGAGAAGATCTAACACGGGAACCTTAGCCCGACCAACGACAGTGGTGCCCACAATTGCAGCATCCTTGATGGAGACTATAACGTGTGATATCGTATGTGCACAATAAATACGAAATTTCTCATTCCAAACTGGATCTTTAGGATCTTTCGATCCTGCCAGAACACGCGTTCGCCCAACTCTAGTTTCCCCCAAATCCACGGTGGCGTAGTATTGGCTTGGTCCTCTGCCCATCTTCAGTACTTCTTCCGAGGTCTCCACGAGCTGCCAACGAAGAACTTCAATTTCCATTAACACAAAGCAATAAACTGTGACATTGATAGAGCGGGACATAAATGTAGCTCTGTTAACGCCGTTGAGCAAAAATCCAACACAATTGAGGAGTCTTACTGATGGTCTCTACCCGAAGAATAAAAATACAGGCAGTTGGATAACTATTAGACCCTCCCAAGCACTCAAAGCATGCACACCGTACATAGTATTACTGCCCACACATACAATGCACTTCTGTCACATAGTTTGAGGATCTGATGCTGAGCCAAACCTTTCTTAAGAATCCTGGAGCTTTACCCGACTTGCGCTCTTCCGTCTCGAGATTTTTCCCATCATAGATAGTGACAAGCATAGTCCCGTGTAGCAAGTAATTCGCCATGGTGACTTTTTTCAATCGCTCAACAGCACGCTAACTCCCTAACTCCTGTGTTGACCACCTATAAAGACACTGAACCGCAGTCAGTTCTTCCGTGACTCAGACCACCGTGATAGACGTGTTACATGCAAAGCTAGTACATCCAATAATCTAACATTGACTTCTAAAACATATTCGAGATTAGAGCACGCATGGAGCATCCACTCGCTAGAAACACAGCATATCCGCAGTAAACTTAAACAAGAATAACCTAAAGCTTGCAACCGTCGCCTGCAGTGCTTCACAATTTGCTGGCAACATTGGTGTGATACAAACTACAGTATTTGATTATGAAGTGGTGGTGATTGTGCAAAAACCTCGTGTCTTCCTACTTCCGACATGCTTACTCATCATTGAAATCATGTTCAAGAAAACAACAATACCAAGACTCTATTTTAATCCTCACCCAAATAATCACACAATACAATTTCACTCTTCCGATTGGCCCTCGTAGCTCCCGAGTGTCACAAACAGTATCACCCACAATCTGAATAGTCAACGAGCACCAAACAGGATCGAGCTTCCCCCAGGCACTTCTTGAAAACCTCGAATCTTTCAAGCACCCAAGTGCGCAAAACCAACCAAACCTTGTAAACGACTAGCAGAACACTCAATACGCTTGACCAGCCAAAAAAGTCCAAAATCCTCAAATGAGAACCGCACTTCAACAAGCCCTCCGCAAAGCTACGCTCCGGTCGCCCGCTCAAATCATTCAAGCTGAGAGGCAACTCCACTTCGCTCCACAAAAACAGCTAACACACCACTCAAAACCAAAATCCACAATCACGCACCCGCTGCGTAGGAAAAACGAGCCAATACGCTGCGATGCTCCGCCTGGCAGAGGATGACAGCGACGCCCACTACCAGCGTGTCAGGCCGCCATCTGCAAGCTGAAAACGAGTTTGCTACTACTTTCTCGTGCTGGGGAGATTTGTTTCCTTCTCCCTGTGAGAGCGACGAGGGCCGAAGTGCCAACGGATGTAGCTGCGAGCGCCGTGCTATGGTAGGCGAGAGGGACAAGTGTGGGTGATTCATTCAAATGCAGCAGACCATGGTGTTGGTCGTGCAGCAGCAGGGCGGCATTGAACACATGCCGGTAACGATTCCCCGTCTCGCTCTCACTCGCTCTTGCTCTTTTTTCTCTGTCTCGTTTGTCACGTGTCGAACCCTTCTTCCTGATCTGTCCTATCCCCATTGCTGCATCATCTGGCCCGGGAATTCTGCACAGTATCGCTCCGTGGCATCAAATCCTTGTCCCCTCGTCATTCCACTTCCAGCTTGCAGCGATGGAGTCTTCGGTTGATACGAATCTCTTGTGCACTATCTCAATTCTCCACAGCTTTATGTTAACTTACCCTTCCTCCGCGTCATTTTTTGCATATTGTGAAAATTCAGTTGTGGATTATGCATGGAAAAATGCTTCACACGCTCAAAAAGAAAATTATGGGAGTTAGTGAGGTATGAGAAAAATACATTGAATTGACATGAATACAACTTGTGCATCTTAAAGAAGACTGACTGCATGTATGACTGATCTGAAAATTGAAGTTAGCATGTGTTGTTGTTGTTTATTGGATTTGTGTAGAACCCCCACGTGCTGCTGCTGTATGGTCTGTTCGTAAATCGATTTTATACACTTGTTTGCCCTTCATGTAGGGCTTTTTCAAGTAACCCTCAAAACTAGGGTTTAAAATAATGGAGTTATTATCGAAAATTGCTCAGCTCTGTACTTGAGAACTTATGCAGAATGGCATTTTACCAACAACGATATTTCATGGTGTTATATTATAGTTTGAATGGGACTTACCAGAAGAGAAGAGAAGAGAAGAGACATCCAAGTGGAAGGATATCAGTGATGAGGATTAGGGGACCAGGTTGGGGAACTTGTTCCCCTGGAAAGTAGCCAGGTGGTGCCTTCCTGAAGGTTGCCACGTGTTAGATCCACCTACCTTTTCCCCTACCCACCTCCCTACTGACCTACCTACCTAACTACTTACCTGACTGAATACCCACCTTAATAATTACCTACCTACCAAGTGGCCTATCCTAGCCCTCCATCACAGCAACTTCTTCCCACTTGTGAACGCGGGCATGGGATCCACCATCACCTTTCGTTCCGTGCCCTAAGGTCACACAGTTCCCGAGATGCTGACGTGGAGATACTATTCGAATTTAACAAAGCCCCTCGTCACTGTGACTTTGACATGTGTATGTATACAAATAATTGGGATGTGGTCGGTGGGGCGAAGTTTTCTTATCAGTATAATGTTCTAGTTCACGTTTGATTGTAGTTGTAAAATCATGACATTTTATGGTGAAACTCTATGTGCATAATATTATTCTGTTTTGATTGCAGCTTCTACAAAACATATTAAAGTCAACATATAAAGGAAAGGAAAAGAAAAATAAATAAATGATATTTATATATATATATATATATATATATAATCCAACAAGTATTGTCTAAAAATTAACACATAATTGTAAATCTGTTTAAGAAATAATAAAAACATGAAATCCTGAACATTTTTCTTTTTTTTTTTACCTTTATTCTCATGTTGTTTTCAAGTATAATAATTTAATTGAGTGATATCAAAAGAAATAATTTCATTTGACCATATGAGTTATATTTTTTAAATTTTCAAAAACTTTAATTTTTTTGATAGGTTGTTATATATTTGAAAACTTAGATCTGTTAGATTCTTCATTAGAAGATATTGAAAGAATAAGAGTAATGTAAAAAAAGAAAAAAAGAAAAAAAAAAAAAAAAATCGTATTAAATAAAGAATATAATTATTTTTTAGCTAAGGTTATTGAAAGAGTCTGAAGAAAAGGTTTAGAAAACTATGAGTCTTAAACAACACAAAGTGGTAGTAGAGGCAATTCAAGAAATTTTACAACTTTAAAAAGAAAATACAAGAAAAAAAGATGTTTCAATGGTGAAAATAAATATAGAAATTGAAATAAAGAAATTAATACATATATATATATATATATATATATATATATATATATATATTAGAAATATTAATTAAATTCTAAATATTTTAACCAAAATTATGCTTAAAATACTAAATAAAGAAATCACTACAACCACATACAATTAGATTTATCTTACTTGAACTCTAAATTTAAGCCAAATAATTAATATCAACAACACAACTATCCATATAAATTGCTCTAAAAACCTCATTAGTAAGTAAGTTTATGCAGATGGTATCATCGAAGTTATACATATATAAACTAATTAATTTTTTTAATTTGCACAAAAATACAAATATTATTGAAATAAAGTTATAATAAAAGATTATAATGAATGGTAAATATTACAAGTGATTTATATAAATAAAAAATTTACATCTAGAATTTTTTAGATCTTTGAAATATATGTATGTTTTTAAAAATAAAATCCAAAGTTATATTAAAAATAATATAATAATTTTAAAAAAAATTAGAAATGTCTATAATTATTTATAAAATATTTATTGAGTTTGAACCTAAATTTATTTTTTAATATATCAAGAATGAATATTATGTTCTTTTGATTTTTTTTAAAAAAAAATTAAAACTTAATTACACCAATTTAGAAATATTGGTTGAAAAAAATTAAAATGGATGTTGTATTATATTTTAGTATTAATATCCCATTATTATCCAATGTTACAAAAAAGTAATTGTTTTCAAATAAGAAGATTACAATATTTTTTATTTAAAATATTTCTTTTAGAAATTGTCATCGTAGATAAAGGATCTATTTGGGATTTCAGAATTTAGAATATGCTATTTAATTTTACAAGATATGACAATGGATTGTATCAAAAGTTTTAAAATCTACAAATATTTTGCATTTGAAATAAGCTTTGACAGTCTTTGTTTAAATACTTTCAAAAGTTGTTCAAAGGTGCAAAACCTTGGATTGATAAAATCAAATTTTATTTTACCACAATAATAACTTGAAACCAAAAATTAGAGTAGTAACATATTTTGATTGATAAAATTCTTATATTCTATTATTATAATAACATATAGTATAAAATATTTAATTTAGAGATATTGCTACTTTTCAAATTTTACTAAATGGTTATACATAATTTTAGTAAGTATTAATTTTATTGATAACACTAATAAAAATTACATATTCTAATTTATGAGTCTAAAAGGCGTGACATTATACTCAAAATGTCTATACTTGGTTTGAAACAAAATCTTGTATTTATCTCTTTCTGTAATGCATACCAAGTTGTATACTCCTTATAGATCTATTTTGATATAGATCTTAGCTTGATTCAATTGATGAAAGAATTTAGATATCAAAGATAGAGAATATTTATTCTTAATAGTAATCTTCTTTAGCCATTTATAATCTATAAACATTTGCAGTGATCCATCTTTTTTTTTCATATACAAGATAGGAGTTGTTGCTAGATATTTTGAATGGTATATGAAATTCTTAGCAAATTTCTCATTAATGTACTTCTTGATTTCATCTAACTCATTTTTTGATAAATTATAGATTGATCAAAATGGCAGTTGAGCTCTTTCTTGAAGGTCAATTAAATAATTTTAAAAAGAATATTTTGAAAGTATATCTACATTTTTTTTTTCAAAAATGACTTTAAAATCTTAGTGTTGGCTTAAAATGTCACTTAAAGTCTTTTTTTTTATTATTTTTATTAAAAATGGATGCAATATAAATAACAAAAAGATATCTTTTTTTGAAATAAATCTTTGAGTTTTTAGATTCCATATAATAGAACTTTCTACAAGTACTACAATTATTGTCAAATAACCAAAAATGGATAAAAACTTTTAGAAGTGGATAAGCTATAATCTCATATATGCCTATTATTTATCAAGAAAAATAAATAATTTAAATATATAAAATTTTAAATATAAAAAATAAATAGATTTTTATATTTTTTAATTTTTTTAGATATTTTTATCTTATGTCAAAATAAAATAAAATATAGATTTTGATTAATAATAAACTATTTTTATAATACCAAAGTAATTTCATCTTTGAATAATGAAATAAAAGTTGTTACTTAATTCAACCTTTTTTAGGCAAGTCTAATCAAATATGTCATCAATTTCTCTTATTTATGATATTAAAAAAAATCTTCTAAATTTCATGATACTTCCAAGTTTGAATTGAAGATTAATCTACTCTATTTCAATAGATAGATGTATGTTCTAGAAGATGAAGCATGATTATGTGTACTTCAAGCTTATCACAACTTTTTTACTATAAAATATTTTTGATATAACAAGACCTTAGAATTAATTTCTAATTTTTTTTGGTGGCTTCAAATTTGGAAGGCAATTAAAGACTTTTTACAATCTTATGATATGTGCTCAAGTTTGAAAATTCTTTATCATTAACCTTATAGACTTCTCTAACTATTACTTATAATAGAATAATTATAGTCTTTTGATTCTATGGATTTTATTATAGATCTTTTAATCTTAAGCTTTTATGATTCTATGATTGTAATAGTATATTATTTTGTCAAGATGGTACATTTTTTATTATGTACAAAATCTATCACATATAAAAAAATAACTAAATTTGTTGTTGATAATATTTATTACTATCATGGAGTATCAAAAGATATTATACTTGATAGCATGATCTAAATTGCATTAAAGTTTTGAAAAATCTATTTTAAGATATTAAAGATAGACATAAGATTATCTTTAGCTTTTTATCATTAAATTAATAGATAAATAAAAATGGTGAATTAAGTTTTTAATTATTATTTAAGATATACCATCAACTATCATA